ACTGGGTGAAGTTGGCGTCTCACTTTGCACTAATCGATTTTTTGGCTTTAAAGGCCAGAACTATGTGTTTAATGTATCAGGAACTCTAGAACTATTCTAAAAGAAGCCAGAACTCTCAATAGTTAATGAGTTTCCACGAGATGAGACGCTAGCTTCACATACACCATTCCCACTTCATATTCATACTTTCCGTTTTTTCGTTAGCTTCTTTTTTAATGCATCATAAACACTATTTATTCATTTTTCGTGACAAAAAACTCCATTAAACTTACGTAATATAATTATATATTACAAATGTTAATTAAACTTGTGATATTAATTCTATCAATCATAAGATTGGAAAATGACAAGTACTTAACACGTTGCATCACTTTGATACCTAAAACAACCTTTTACATATTTTGTCTATTAACTTCAAAAAATTTGAAATTAATCTTGTTTTATCTCCCCGCAATTCTCTTTTCGGATTATCGCATCAGTGAAATTCAAATTTAAATATAAACTCAAAACATTTTACACGTATGGTTTTGTCTCTAACACTTATTCGAATCCTCGTTCGAATCATTCGAATAAATAACATAAAAACACAGAACTAATGCTTTATTTTGCACAAATAGCAGATAACATAAAAATGTAAGACACCTCACGATTTCTCCGCCGTTGCCCGATGCCTTCTAGGCCTGCTTCTCCTCAGATTTTCTTGTTGCACTCACACAACACTGACACAACATTCACTCGCGAAAATCATCGTTCGGGCGAAATTTCGGGCACTCCCGTACGCGATGTGAAATACCGCGAAACGCACGAAATATTATTAATAAATATCGCATGACTTTCTGTCATACAAATTACTCAAACTCTTTTAATTACTCAAAAAGAACAACAGAGTGAATTGCAGCGCGAATATCGAAGTCGCACAAATTTCTCACTTCAGTTTTCATTACAAGTTATAATATTTAGTCAATGAACGTTACTTATTAATAATAAACGTGTACAAATCAATAGCGTTTTATCCACACATTCATCGCGATCTTAGAAATCGATAACGTGAAAGTTTTTTTTTGTAAATAACGTGAAAGTAATACGACGCACGGAGCGACTCTCGCTGCTGCCTGCCGGCGCGACGTTCGGCGAGCGAGTGAGTGCGGGCGACCTTCGAGTACACGATGGCACGCAAAAACCTCGTACGTCACCGCGGCGAGAGAAAAACAACTACGAACGTTGAGAATTCGTTGTTCCGCTTACGAAATTGAAAATTCCGTACTTAATATTTTGCATTACTTTGTTCCATGACTGTTACTACGTTTCGTGTATCATTCTGCGGACTTATTGGTATCGATTGAATAAACGATTAATTCTGTTTAATCGAGAAAATGTTTCGAAACAAACATCGTCGTTACTTAAATTCTAATTACTAAGATTAGAGATTTTACCTCAATAGTTGTTGCCCACAAATGTATAATATTACTAAATCACAAATCTTTTAGAAAGGGATTCAACTACTTTTGCTCGAATTTTTGTTTCAATCCTTACTACAGATTTTTGCTACTGACAAATGCATGTCCAAGTGTCAGATTTTCTACCTCAGCAGCCAATGGCGATGAGCGAAATGTTAAAAACAGTTAATTTTAAGTGATTATATCTCGGAAACTATACGGCAAATCAAACCCAAATTTTACACACATACTTATTATTATATATCTAAATTAGTTTTGCTGCAAGTTTAAAAAAAATTTGTAGCTTCATCATTTTTCACCCAACGTTCTTTATATAAAGTCGTGAATTTTGTTTTTACGCGTACTCTAATCGCATGGAAGAATTTTGTAATTTTATAAAGCCAATTTCAAATTGCTCGCGATTAAGAAATTGAAAACTTCAAACACCAATATCTTTCTCATTAGACTTCTGACCTGAGCGTTTTAAGTATGAAAATGTTCTGCTATGCGGTTCGCAACTTACTCTGGCATTATATTGTGCGTAAAAGCTAATAAAAAGATTTACCAGGGTAAAAATTATATTCGAATGCGTCGATAAAACAGGTGACTTTAGAAGCCGCGTAAATTCGAAAGCGCTTTCAAATATGGCGGCATCGCTGGAAGCGGTCCGCGAGCAGTATGCGTGGTCTACAGTGCGAGTCGTAGTCGTAAGAATAATCGACTGCGACTGGTCAATTTCGTCAGGCACATAAGAATTGACCAATGATAGGGAGCTTTCCAGCAAGCGACACAAGTCGACACAAATGTCGTTCTGTCTTTCTTCGCATTCAATGAATAATAAAGGCAGAACGACACTTGTGTCGACTTGTGTCGCTTGCTGGAAAGCTCCCATAGTCGACTGCTCTTACGACTACGACTTTACGACTTCTATGTAGACGAGGCTGTATGCGACTCGCGACTGCGATTGCATCGGCGATTACGATTGGCTATTTCAAATCTTTACGGCCGCCTAGCCAATCACAATCGCCGATGTAATCGCAATCGCAGTCGCGAGTCGCCAGTCTGATACAGGCGTATTACGGAATCGCAGGTATGAGATACAAGGCTTGTTTCCTGTTGTCACATGTATATTTTTTCTCATTCTAGCTTACTGCACTAGTTCACCAGTGCAGGAACAGAAAACAAACCTCTAGTGAACAAAAGAAAAACACTCACCGACTCCTTCCGAAATCTTCCTCCAGTTCCCTCTTTCGCTCTCCTCCTCCTCCTCCTCCTCCTCCCCAGCCGAAGGCGAAACGTTGGAAGCGCAGAAAGTACGCGAGCAGGCATCCTTCGCGCGAGCGGAATCCTTCGCTAAACACCTTCGGAAAAGAACAGAACGCCCTCCGATCCGGCGACGCTTGCCGCGCGTCGCTGCCCCGCGAGAAGAAGAGCGGAAACGCGACGGGGAACGGAGCGCGGCGCGCCGCGCCGCGAGCGCGGTCCGACCTGACCGCGTGCGCGCGCATCATTCATGGCGGCCGCGAGTCGCGGAGTCGTGGGTCCGTTCGCGTGCGTGCAGGCAGCAGCGGTACGTCGGCCAGCGAGCCCCCCGGAGTTGACGTCGCGCGACGATCCGCGTCCGCGGAGGCACGGCAGCCGCGAGCGTGACGTCGCGAGCGAGGCTCGAGCCCGGCCGTCGTCGGCAACGTGCCGCAACCAACCGGCAAGACGAAGCTCAAAATGCCACTGGTGAGTCTGTCCTCCGTGCGCGGGGATTCGTTCCCTCTTTCTCTCCGCCGTCTCGCTCTTTCTCGCGCTCTCGCTTCCACCCGTCCGTCCGTCACGCTTGCGCGCGAGCACCGCCTCGCGACTGTCATCCCCCTCGGCGGAGCGAGAAGCCTCTCGCTCGGTTCGAGCTGTCCCGCGCCAAGATCGGGGGTCCCCCGCGTCCCGTCGGCCGACGAGCGAGGAGCGATCGCGGCTGCAAAGCGGAGCGAGGATGCGAATTCCCGTCCTCGCGATACCCGAGGTGAGTGCTGGGCGCGGTTTTTTTGTGGTTAGGTTAGGCGCGACGGGCGCGACGGGGACATGCCAGGACTAAGGGTAGAAGGGAACCGTCGGCGGACTCGGGTCTCCGTCGAGACGTCGCGCCTCGTTTCGCGCGCCCGCCACGTTCCGGAGTCACGCCGGGAACGTAATTTAAAGGGATCGATAATTACGGAAAAGTGTGTCACGCTGTATCACAGGTTGACGCTAACGCCAGGCACGACTGCTTCCAACGTTGGCGACAGTAATGTTTCGTTGCTCATTGGTTTGTGAAAATAGCAAAAAGAAGGCAGCGGCCAAGTTCCAAGCTGGTTACACAACGTTACGTTCTGTTTTGTAGAGCCCGAGCTCGAAGAAGTCGCTATGCGCACTGCCCGAAGTGATTGTTTACGAGAGAAAAGTACGTTGTTGTACACGAATTGGTTATTAATGCTATCGGTGTAAACAATAGTATGCTGCATTGTCCGTAACAAGTGTTTGTTAACGTGTGGACGAGCTCGTTACGTTGCCGGGGGAGGAGAGTTGTGCCTTGTGTTGCAAAGAGCGCAGACTTTTGACGAAGCCGCTGTGTCTTTTTAGGGCAATCATGCCGCCCTCACACCGCTGGAAGACATGTCCGCGGGACGAGGGCAGGCGGGTGGAGGGCCTCCTCAGAACTGTCAGAAAGTTTTTATACAGCGCGACTACAGCGAAGGTACTATGGTCAAGTTCCACACGCGGTTCCCCACGGAACTGGAAAGTAGAGTGAGTATCGCGATCAAAAGTCCCCGATATCTGTAATGTAATACTGTCTACAGTACGCGGAGTAAGCTTGGAGTAACTTTTCCGAGAATTACCTTTGTAGAGGCGACATTTGTGCAGAGAAGATTCCTATAGGGCCAGTTTCACAAACGTCGTTTAACCGCTAACCCACGGTTAATTGATCCTCTGTCTCTTCTTGGATAACAAGATAGAGAAAGATAGGAAGTCGACTGAACTCTGGGTAACAGTTAACCGACGTTTGTGAAACTGGACCATAGAGACAATATTTTTATATAGAGAGGATATTTTTGTAGAGGAGATACTTTGCAGAAAAGATAGAGTAACACTGGAGCTTATACCTTGTCTACAATACGTGGAGTAAGCTTGGAGTAAGGAATAAGAGAACCATGAACTTTAGCTTTTGGTGTAAGGAAGCTAAAGTACAGGCGTGATCTTTTAAACGTTTGTAACACTCGCCGCGATGGCGTTCTGATTCGCTGAAAGTACAAGAGCTGAAGTAGGGGTGAGAAGTAACATTGATTAATTTCCTCACTCCTACTCCTCACTCCAGGCATTGTAGACGACGCATAAGAGCCCAGCAGAGACGGTCGAAAAGTATTTCTCACGAAAACATTTCCCCCTGATCTAGTTGGACAGACAATTGTTCGAGTACACGATCAATCAGTTGAACAACTACTTTGCCGAGGCAGAGCGTGCCAGTTGTTCCACGTACTGCGAGAGCTGCCTATACTGTCTCACGGGTTATCTGATAAGCATATGTACCGAGACGCACTACGAGAAGTGTCTGCGCAAGGTCGCCAAGTTCGTCAGCGAGCAAAACGATCGGGTGTACAAGCCACGCGGCCTCCTGCTGACGGACCCAACGACCCGCGGGCTCAGGCTAATAGAGATCTCGGTACTGGACAGACCTGCGTCGTGACTGCATATTAGCCGATCCAGGGAGTTCTTCATGTGACCCGCCGCGCAGCACTCTGGGCATTACCTCGCCAGAATCATGGACATGCACGCGTTCGTGAATGCCTGTCGGCACAATTACGGGGCATACCGGCTGGTTTGAGTCACGTTCGCAAGGTGCGCAAGTTTTCGCGAGATTTGAAGGAACGGATTTTTTTCCATCAGCGACACCCTGCGGGCCACGACGTTGCTTAGACGCACCTTGCACGATTAATCTTGCCGAGTACGCGTGTAATGAGCCGAGGCTCTCTTGTCGTCGATTCGTGCCTCGTTGGTTTAAGAAGATAAATATGGGTCGGATTTGTAATTATGTGTGTGTATGTGTGTGTGTATGTGTGCGTGTACGTGTGAGGACCTGCGGGAAACGGGGAAACACACCGGAATTGCGCGCGATTGATTCGTGGGAATTTCGTGGGAATTAATTATTACAAAGTAAGCTTGTACAAGGTCGACCTAATTGCGGCAAGAGAGTCTCGCGTTCATTCGCACTCGCGGTGTCTCGATCCTAAGTGGTAGCTGCTGCGTTTTCGAGGGTGGGCGTGCATCGAGGCGCGTGGATGTGTAACGAAGCCGTGGCACTTCTATATAAGTTGAATTTTCTATATGCGTAATAGAACATACAACATACGAAAGTATATCAAGTGTACGGGGGCGAATCAGGGTGGCGCGAGTCGCGCTCGCGTTACCGAACGACGCGAATTTGGCTTCGCCGCGAGCCGCCCGCGTTGATTTGCCACGTATACGACGGGGTCTACATATTTTTTTACTGTTCATTTATGACTTTATCGTATCACCTGCATTTAATTAACGAGACGTGAATGGGATGCGTGTCTGCGTGAATTACTTAGCGAGGAGATGGCATTCGGTGCTGGCGTCTGTAGCGCGCGTTTCGTTCAGGTTCCGCCCGACCGAGAGCCGCGATTACGAGCGAGCCCTCGTACCCGACGAGCGCTGACGAGCGAATCTCCGAGTTACTCTCATCTTCCGCGATGTATCTTCCATTGCGTCTGTGTATCCGCGCGCAAAAAGCGCCAAGTCTTTTCGCAATACGTATATTACATTGGGTGGGACACGTTCGGCTCGTCGCGCGCGTGGATGCCTCTCGACACCGAGGACGGTAGAGTCGATTGATATTACTGGCACAAACCATTCGTCGCGCCGTAAAGAAACCCGAGGATTGGGCTAAAAAGGAGGGAGAAAGAAATTGTGTAAAAAGGAAAAAAACATGGAGAGGTGGTGATATAAAAAGTAAGCTACAAATTGATTGGCAATGTGACCGAGGCGAAAAATACCGTTGGCGATGCGGCGCGAGACTTGGTGCGTCTCTCAATCGTAATTGGACACCCGTCGCGACGCTGGATATGCTTCCCGTATTCCGTTCCCGCTAATTAGTTGTAAATAATAATGATCTCAAACGATACAACGACGCAACACCATGTCTACCTTTACTTTCTCTTTACGCGCTTCGGGAGCCTAAGGCATCGTAACGCGCGAGACGCAACACCAGGAGAGATCTTTTTTCCGGCGCATCTCGAGTGTCGAACGAAAATTGGTCTACGATCGACCAGCTCGATATGCCAACAACGTAACGTGCGCGTGGGGGCCTCAAGTAGAGAACGACAACTTCAGCGAACGCGCGTCAAGATCTCGGCATTCGCGTCCATCGGCAATTCGCGCCTTGTCGCGGCATCGCGTGCTACGGCGCAACCCTCTCGTTCTTGGTCACAATGCCCGCGGAGCCTGTCCGACGTTGTAATGCGATGCTGTCTTGCTGAAAGGTTCTTGCCAAATAAGCATGTCACTGCCTCGGCGTACGACTCTCCCAGCGCGTACGGGCGCACGGGGGAGACGTACGGGCCGGAGATCGTCGAAGGGGAGATATTTTCGGGATCGAGCGAGAGAAGGGAAAGGAGAGAACAGAGCGCGCGCCGTGGGGAAAAAAAGTCTCCCGGGAAATTGCGAAAGGTTTTCCCGTCGACCAATTTCTTTTCGGCGTCGCAAACATCACGTGCTCGAGGGCTCTGACTGCATGTGCGCGCGCGCGCGCGCATGTTGCGTGTAATGTGTATATAACGGATTATAATCGTCGACACGAAGTATGAGGAGACGGAAGGGAGCGAAAGGAAAAGGAGGAACCGTTTGTTATACTTAATTTAATTTAGTAGGACCAATATTGGATTGACGATCCGTAACTGTAAAGGACACCATCGTACGAGTGTAATTTCTAAATGTTTTAATAATAAAAAGACGGCGTAAATATATGTCCCCGTATTCGAGATTCGCCCTCGTCGAGGTAACACACTTCCTTCTCCCTTCCTCGTTTTCTTTCGGGCGCGCCCGGACCTTGCGTTTACATTTTAACGCCGCAGTGACGCGAGACGACGATTGTAATAATGGCCTGCGTTCAGCAGAAAGAGCCGCTTTGCAACTGTTGTAAAATTCGCGAGTCTGATTGGTGTGTTCTCTTAATCTTGAGTGAATTTAAGAGCATACGCCAATTCATGAATTTTACAACGGTTGCAAAGCAGCTTTTTCTGCTGAACGTAGCCAATGATATAATAACTTTGCAAGTTATATAATATGTTATGTAATATATATATATATATATATATAATGTAACAGCCTTCAAAGTTATTATATATTTATAAAATTAGAACTTGTAAGCTCCGGACTTAATGTCACCGACGCTTAATCGATCAAAGTGCCATATAACAGTCTGCTTTTTATCTCTCTCTCTCTCTCTCTTTTTGTTTAGGCAATAAGTAAATCAAGTAAGGATGTGTTTAATCGAGACGATGTTGAAGGTACCATCGGTTTTATCGCAAATTTAATGCAGAAACGACTGCCGTGCACTGGCGCCCTCTCGGCTGATAAGACTGCTGGAGCGAGAAGCGGTAAGTTGTCTCGGAAAAGTTCGGACTTTGCTCCTCGGTCAAGTTCGAATCCGTCGCGAAATCGAATTTTACCTCCCGTTTTGAATACAGGCAACATTCGTTACACTTTACGGAGAAAAATGGCGCGAATATAAGATTTAAACGAGAGACGGAGAACGAGCAGCTCGGACTGCCGTGAAGTTGGCCGCGCGTCGCTGCGACCTATCGATAGCGCTTCCGGAATCGTGCGCGCTCGAGTCCGTTGAGTCGCGAGCAGTCGCGGGGCGACGCGTTCGAAACGTTTCGCGATTCCCGCGTCAGTTCGCGGGGCGAGTCTCGCGACTCAAGGATTCTCGCGTCGATTACGCGCGTCTCACGGGCGTATCGTCGCGCGTCGACGCGTCGCGTTTGCGGCGAGCGTTTGCCCGAGCCGCTCTTTCGCCGAGGGATGCGCGGTCCTCGTCAGGTGCGTACACGCCGTGTTTCCACAAGCAGCCGCGTTGATTTGCGTTGATTGCGACTTCTCGCGACGGGTCATCCGCGAGTGGTCGGCACCGGCGAAGCCCAAAGCGAAATCACGCGCGAGTCGCCGTGCATCTCCCGCGATTCTACGACGGATTTCGCGCCGCCAAGTCTCGGGCGCTCTTCGTGCACGACGGCCATTTCTCATTTAACATTGTGATTTCAGTATCGGGACCGGCCTCTCCGTACGTCTGAGGAGTCAGAGTCTCTCGGCCGCGACTTATTTCCCCCGCCGAGGACGGCGGTTGCGGCGAAGGCGCAATGGCCGCGCGATCGTCACCAGGTACGTGTCGCGATTTTAGAATCGTGCAAGAAGCGCTTTGTTCACTAAACGAAATCGAATACTTGAAATTTCAACGAAGTCTCGGATATTTAGTTTGAAATCTCTCGTGCCTCGAATGAGGAAGGAGCCAGCGTTTTGCACGTTTTATCGATAACGTGCATTAACGATCGGCTCGGGCCGCCGCTTGAGAAAAGCCCAATTTCTTCAGATTCCAAGTATTCGAATTCCGATTGTGTTTGGCAAGTATTTTTATTTAGATTTCCGTAAGTTCCTCTACGAAATAAACGTTCTCGTATCGAATCCATTCGATCGGGTTAAATTAAAACACCTGACTTCTTCTCCGCTCGGTCGGCAAGCAATTTGAACCGCAAGATTTCAGGGCGGCGCGTCGTGATCTTCGCCACGCCTTGGCCAACGATGAAGAGACGAGGGGCCGAAACCAGGGGGCGATCCCTCGCGTTCTCGGGGGGAATTTCAAATAATTCGGCACACCCGCACGCATCTGCTTGAGCACATCCAGATTTTATTTAACCATGTGCAACAATTTCTGATAGGCATATTGATTCGCAGCTATATCAAAAGACTAGAAACCAGTCTCACTCTCGTGTTGCTCAACTCTCAGACTCACACTCGGGGAGGGGGCGGGGGGGGGGGAGGAAGGAGAACATAATGCGCTCGGCAGGTCTTGCCGGAAAGTAACGAGGGGGCTTTAACCGATTTCCGATCGCGGCCCCTGACGTCAATCGAACGCGAAGGAAAAAAGAAAGAGAAGGGCGGAATCACCGCGGGCTCCGATCGCTCGGAGATCGGAGTCGCCCGGCCCGGGATACGGCGCGTAATTACGGAGCGGAAACGCAAACGGATTTTGCCGCGGGCAAACGTAATTTACGGGTGACCCGCCGATCTCCCGAAGGGTTCAACGATTCGACGGAGCTCGAGCTGCGGAAATGACCAGTGGGACTCGCGTTCATGCTTGCGTCACGGATCACGTCGCGTTGCGTGCGCGCGAGATTTAATCCTATCGTTGCCCGCGCTGACGAGACATTAATACGACACGAAAGTACCACCGCCGGCTATGTACTCACTTCCACGTACACATAAGGACGTCGCATACGTGCGCAATGAGAGATACCGAAGGAAAGACATTCCGAGATTTGTGCGATCGTATATTAGCGACTCTCCAAGTCAGCTTGCCAAAAAGTTCCCCGAAAGAAAAATTTTCTTCTCTGCGTACAAGAATAACGTTTTATTTGTTCACATGCGAAGTTGGAAGTGCGCTCTGTTTCGATCACTTACAAAATTTTAAGTCGTTGAAATTCTTTTATTCGCACACGATTCGAAACGCAGTTGAATTTACTCACTCGCGAGACCCCTCTCTCTCTCTCTCGCCTCGTAAAATTCGAAAATTTTAATTTGTGTCATAAGATTGAAAAGTTTTTTTTTAAATACGTATCTACTTATAATTTTTTTTATTTGTAGAACCTATGAAATATTTTAAACTTATACATTATTTTTATTTGAAATTTTTAAGGTTTGATTAAAATGAAGAAGTCGACTCGAGAGCAATTTCTCTCTCTCTCCTCTCTCTTTTTTTTTTTGCTTAACCATATCGATTGCGCATCTCTCTTTCTCTCTGTCTTCGTTATCGCGGAGATCGCTCTGAAGAAAAGTCTGAGTTGATAAAAACAATGAAACTGCGCTCGTTTCCGACCGAAACTGCCGTGGAGCAGCGTGTCCGCGAGTCCGATTCGCGCGTCTTCAATCTACAAGCGTCATCGTCACCGATCCCTTCGCACGCCGAACTGTATAGCCTAGAATATCATCGAGATGTGATACAAAAAGATTGTCAAAATTGAATTCATCATCGTTATCATCATCAGCGTTATCATCATCATCATCATCATCATCATCATCTGACGACGCCCGACACATTCACACATAACAGCACGCTTCCTCGCGTTCTACGGGATTGCGATTATGAGCAATGTCGTTGTGAGGTGCAACGACCGACCGTCGAGTTCTCTAGCTACCTAGCCATCGACTAAGCACACGTGTTTCACGTAACACCGTTGTCTACGTATTATCGCCTTAAAACCTACGGGCAACAGTTTTCTCGGGGATCCGACGCGCCGATGTACGCCTCATGAGATCACCACCTCGTCCACCCTCTTTCCCGATCCTCTCCTCCCTTTCTTTCCTCGAGCCGCGTAATTTGTTCGTCCTCGCGCCACGAAGATTCGCCGTCTCGTTAATCACTCCGGTATTTTGATTCGCCGTTTTCTACGCCTGGCAATGGAGAGATTGGAATGCGCGCCGAAATCAATGGAACGTCTTTGTTGAGCGTATTTTTTTTCTCACCCCGGGAATTACTTTCCCGGGAATTACGTAGACATGCGTTTAGTTGGTTCTATAATTTTCTCACTCGTGCTAAGTTTTACGTTGAACTTTGAATACTTTGATTCGAATTCGCGCCTAATTCGGTTAGATAATATCGAGATTCTTAACTCTTTACTTCTCTTTTAAGTCGTGAAATGAATAATGATAGAGTACTACAACGGATCTTTCGATAATCAAACCAGTTCTCTTCGAAATGCGAACGATCACATTGCGATCTGTTTTACTCTCTTTGTACTGAAAATTATTCTCTTAGTCGATCGCAATTTCCTCTTGTCGATATTGTCAGTTTTCTCAGATCTAACTAAACTCGGTTCTTTGCACGAATATTCGGTTTTTACAAATTGCTAAATTTATCGCCATTTCTTCTCACCGCTCATTCCTTTTCTGTCTTCTGATTTCTGATCAAATACGATCGTTTTGAATTAAAAGATCCTATATAATGATCATTCCTGCTAATATTTCTCTCTCTCTCGCCCAGAGGATTCATTTCCCACAAGTATTTCGCTGCAACTGAAAGCAGCTACAAAGAAACTTGCTTGAAACAGTCCATTTGGTATCATTCTACTCTTCGGGAATAGTCCGACTTAGTTATTGAGGCAGACAACGTTATTCTTCTAAGAGCGCCTTCTAGGTTCACCCTAAAGCTCTTTTCCAATGACAGCTCGTTCGTGAATCTGCCAAGCTTCAGCCTCCAGGTGATCTCAACGTTAAAGATTCCATCTTTCGCGACCTGGAAGCTGCGATGTGTATTTAAATACCCATTTCCAAGTGTCGCCACTCGTTGGCCATCATTCGGGGATGCTCTCGAGCGTCGTCGAAGTTAGCCGTCAAATGAGCAGGCACAGCTTGTTGCGATTCTTCCTCTCCGGGAGCAACGCCTTCGACTTGCCGGCGTCCTCCGAGCTGCTCCTGGCGTAAAGAGACCTGCTGATGCGATGTCGGACCCCTTTGCTCAACGTACGTCCGCCCTTTCTCAGCGAGGCGAACCTGCCGAGCGACGATCTGTCCGGCATCTGTTCCCTCTTGTCGGGGTGGGCGCAGTTCAAGGTCGTGACCGTGAACTCGATGTCCTTAGGCTCGTAGGAAACGAATTCCTCCACCGGCTCCTCGATCGTGTCGCGGTCGATCCACGTTAGTCCCATCTCGACCTTCTCCGCCAAATCCTGCCAGTGCTTTCGATTCTCCGTGGTGCCCTCGTAGAGCGGCAGGATCCATGGGAACGTTTCCGCTAAGACTTTGTAGAGCGGCAGGCAGATGACGTCGATGAAGCCGACCTGCATCTGCGGCAATTCGTCCCGCCTCTCGCGATCCATCATCGCCACCGGCTGTTGGTTGAGCTGCAGGCGCTCCAGGTCGCCTTGATCGAAGAATTCATCGGCCACCAGCTTCGCCACGCGATGCTGCACGTCCCAGGGCTTCGCTATCGCGCTCACGTCGCACGCCGTCATCATCATGCCGCATAGCACTGCGAAAAAGGAAACGGGCAAAATTGATTAGTCGTTCGCGATATTTGAAGAGTCGTCCAAGTAAAAAGCTATCGAGGAATTACATTCTTTCTTCTCCTCGCTCTGCCAATCAAACTCGCCCTCGTCGATCACTTCCATGAAGCGATTCCTCTTCTTAAAGTACATCGCCAAATCGGTCGACAGAATGGCGCTCTCCACGACTTTCATCACACGTCTATAGTCCTCCATTGATAAGCTCTGAAAAATGTTATTGCTGTCAGAGTTCAGGATCATGACGCACTGGTCAAAGTGATGGTGCTCCATCGTGCTGGTCGAGTAGAGGATCGCCAGCGGAGATTCGGTTTTCGTCTGGAACGCGTTGTTCGTGCCGCGATGATCCAGATCGTGACAAAGGCAGGCCACCAGAAGCCCGAGGATTTCCAGATCGGTCATGAATTGCTCCATCTTGCCGGTCTTCAGCATCGCGAACATCGTTTGCGCGACGTTCAGCGCGTGCCGCCAGTTGTGGTACTTTACTGGCCTGTCGGGAATAATTTCCAGCTGTAATTCCGTTTAAGGTTGCGCCGCCATGGGACAAAATTAACGAAACGGGATTTGTATATGCACCTATAATTCTTCTTCACACTGAGGATCCACCTGCACAGAACGTCGTACGGTATGTGGAACTTCTGTATGAGGTCGCACTGCTTAAACATCCTGATGGTGGCGCGGCACGTGTCGTCATCGGTGAGGTCGAAGTCGGTGAACGTGAAGCTGTAGAGGTTGTACGTTTCCGCGGACGGTATGCGATCGGAGACGAGCCGCAGGGCGTCGTCGTTGTTGGCGGTCGCGTGATAGCTCAGGCACTCGAGGGCCACCTTCTGCTTCGCCATCAGCTTGCACGCAGATTCGTACATCTGCGTGTTGTGAATACCGAGGCCGCAGAAAATAGCGAACGCCTCGAATATCGACACGTCCGAGTCGGTGAACGACGTGCCGTTGTCCTGCAAAGAATTTTTTTCCCACTATTTATAATAGTTCTTAGTAATTTTATCTAGCGACCGCTGATAGAGAATATCGTTCACTATAACGCCATATCTGTTAAGTGATTTTCTTTTTATCGCTATATGATGAATTTTATGACGATACATTGCTCGACACTCGGTGATCTATTCTCAAGCAACGTATAGTTTGAAAAGTCAACAGCATAAAAATCGCGTGATGTATAATACGGCATATGCAGATTAACGGATTATTAAGGCTTAAATGCAAAGTATATCTAAATGCAAATAAACTATCAATAACAGATTAATAATAGATTATTCAGGGATTATTGCGGATTATCGCTTAAAAATTAGGAACGGAATTTTATCAGTTCAAACCTTGTTGATCAATTGAGCAACTCCGATGACGATTCTCTGCCCGTTGACGATCGGCATGCATAGGATACTTCTGATGGGCTCCTTTCCGCTCTCCATCACGTCTTTCTTCAGCCACGTGGCCACGTCGCCAATGTTGAGGATTTGACCCGACGCGGCGACGTACCTCGCGATCTGACCCAGGGTGCTCGACAGGTTGTTGCTACTCGGCCGATAGACCCGGGCCTCTTGCGTTTCGTTTTCCATCTCGAATACCATGGTAAACTTGCTACCTTCGTTCGATGCCTGGAAAAGAATAGAGCGTGCGAACGTATCGTTTGAAAATGAAAGACTGAGATAAGAAGATTGTCGACTATCGAAGAGATCTAATGCGTTGATCAACGCCGCAGAAGTTAAGCGGAGGAAACGGCGTACAAGGAATGTACGTTCGCCTCGTCGGCAGGGCTGGAAAATTGCATTTTCTTACATACATATTTACGTGTATACTCCGGGTTTATAAACTATCGCGATCACTTACATGCTGCTGAATAATATCCTCCATGTCGATGTTATTGCTCTGAGCCGCCAGGAAAGAGAAAAAGATCATCAGACATACAAATTCGAGTAACACGTGGCGGTGCCACTCACCTCTCTTCTCGACAACGGCTTTCTGCTCTCTTGCACCGACTTCCCGGGCCGCTCGACGATTTTCTCGAGATGCCCCTAGAACGAGACATCTCTTATTGCGTTTTTGAACGCCCCTACTATTTACACGGCAACATTTTCATTTTAGTTATTTTTGCCCTAGCCGGTCTTTCCGTGTGGGTAACAAATCGTAGAGAAATTAAGTTTCTCGCGGTAAAAAGGCACACTTACTGCCTCGCCGCAGTCCAAATCCAGCAGGTAAACGGCGCACCTCTCGCACTTGAGCAGCTCCTTCGCCTCGGTCATGATTTTCGTGACGAGACACTCGAGATTGTTCTGCTCCTCGAATATGTTCCGCGCCAGATTGAGGAGGATCTGATTGCGTCGGTATTCCTGCACGGACAGCTCGAACAACTGCGCGTTCTGTATGCCGATGCCGCAGAATGTGAGGTATCTGCGATAATCGATGCCGTCGTAAAATTAGACGCGCGATCGTATTAATAAACGCATCGATCGCGCGCGGTGCCGATTATAATTGCGCGTACACGGCAATTACATAGTCTTGTAACTGGCCTTGCGCCATTATGCAATCAGTTAATGTAACTGTACACTCTAACGTCCCGTCTAGGCGCCCGGTTATTATACGCAGCCATTACGCCGAGTTATAAATTTTCCGAGTACACATTCTACGGTCTTTCCCCCACCTTTGAAACACCTCGACGTCTCTGTCCGTAAATTCGTTGCTGCCGTTCGTCTTGTTGATGATCTGGGCGACCCCGATGACGTCGCCCTCGTAATTGCAGATCGGCATCGACAGAATCAATGTCGTCTTGTATCCGGTTCGCATGTCAATGGCGCTGTTGAATCGCGGATCCTGGCGAACGTGAACAGAAATATGTATTTTAACTCTGTCGACAAAGATACGAAACTCGACGTCGATTAATTAGCTCTTAGACGATTATTCGGGGGAGTTGGTTATAATTTTTCTTCGTCGAGCTACGGTATTGTGATTATTATTGTGGGATTGAAAGGAAGGTTCTAAAGCCTCAGCGAATCATATCGATTAGACACCCCAAGAAACGTAAGCTGAAACCTTATAAGCGTCCTTGATGTTGATAATCTCCTTGGTTTGCGCCACGTAACCGGCGATACCGACTCCGAACGGTATTTTGAGCTCCTCGTTCTTAGCCCGTTGAATGGCTTCCTCGAGCTCGGTTTCCTGAGTGACGTCAAACAGCTTTGCCACCAGGTACCGGTCCTCCAAGGGTCCTTTCGCCAGGAACAGGCTGCCGCGATCGGCATAAGTGAGTAGGCCGACGTTCACCAGGATCTTGTGGCAGAGGACGTTGATGTCCAGTTCGTTCGCCACGTCCCTTATCAGCTCCATAAACAGATCGCTCTCGTCCAGTCTACCGAGCTCCTCGCGACGATCCATCAGTGTGCTGAAAGTCCTGCAAGATTTAGTACTTGCGCCGTCTACGATGTAAGGCTGGATTAAATTTTCCGAAAAGTTTTTTAGGATTCCTTATTTTATAAAAGTGTACAATTGTGTTATTTATCTGAAACGTGACACGGGGTGATTTGTTGTTGATGTTGCTTACCTGTTGGGACTCCTGCTGCGCTTTGCGGGTGAACTCGAGGCCAGCCAGGTCTGAAAGAGATCGGATGTGACGCTGTTGCGTTTGCCCCGGTTGAGAAGGCTCTCTTCCTGCTGCATGCTGGGCGCACTCGGTGCGCTCGGTGTTATTGTTTGTAACATACACGTGCTCTGCAATCTCTGCCGAAGGTGGAGGCTCGCTTTCTCCCGCAGCCACTTTTCGGCCAGAGCGGGATGCGCCTCCAAGTATCTTCGCCATAAGAATTTAGTAGATAAGCGTACAGAAAATTCTTGACACCAGATTAACACGTTCAATTAAAACAAATCAAACCTTCCAACTTTATCGATAGTGAGGTTGACGTCCTCGTCGTATTCGGGTATAGTATCCTGGCAGCTGACCCTTTTGCCTCTGCACAGCCTGGCGATCTCAATCTCTTTCACATCAGTCTTTGTACTTGTACTTAGGGGTACTTTTGATTCTGATCGCACGGACGTTTTCAATTTGTCGGGACTGTCGTCGGCGGTGCCGACAATCTCCGATTGCTCGGGATTGAACGAGCGCACCAGAGGACAGTCGCCCTTCTCCTGTGTCATCTCCGACACTGGCTTCGTAGAGATCTTCATCGTCTCGAAGTTCTCGAGGTTGTTGTTATGATTCGCCTAGGAAAGGTATCGCAAATCGAAAGTATCTATTTCGCTCGCCACAACTTACATCTTATTTCACTTATCTCTGATTCGTACTGCTATTCATTTTGAGTCATACTACTATAACAGTTCTTTTGAGAGATTGAAAAGAGCAGTGTACCTTAACCCTTTGAAGCATGGTGACAATCCACGTTACCACCTCAACTTCTTTACTTTTTGGACACTTAATTTCTAGTTAACGCATTTAGGTCGGGGTGTTTGCATTCTTTGGGTATCTTAGCAATAAAAGAACATTAAAAATGTTAAATAGTCTTTAATATTTATTGTAAAAGTTTTATAGATAAATAAATATGAAGAAACAGCAATTTCTTCGGAAAAATTCATTATTGACCAAGTTTATTAAGATTATTTCTTGACAACTTTGTACAAAGGGATTCTCGGGTTCGCTCATTACGAATCTGATGTCGGATTTTCAAAATTCAAAATGGCCGACCCAAAATGGCGGATGAAAAGTACGTGAATTTCTTAAGTTTTCAAGTCTTTCAGCATTTTCGTTCGATTACGGTATTTAGGGACTCATCCCGTCCGCGTCGTTAGCTCTGGGTTAGTGCCAAGAACGAGTAAATTCTAAGAAATGATCAAATTTTGCATCCGCCATTTCGCGCACGCTATTTTTTATATTCTATAAGAATTTTCAACTGAAATTTAGATTTCACGGATCTTAATAATATCTAAATAATGTTTCTTAGCATAGTTGAATTGCGGTTGAATAATGTTATTCTTTTAAGTTTGGAATTCCTCCATCTCTTGAATCCGCCGTTTTGAATTATGAAAATTTGATCACGAATTCGTAATCAGCGGCCCCAAAAACCCTCGTATACAAACTAGTAAGAATATTCTTAAAAGTCGCCAGCAGTAATTAACAGCATCAGTGATTTTTATTGACCGTATCTGGCAATTTTTATAATACAGAACATTTATTGCGAAAAATATTACCTCAGCCAGGGTTTGAACCTGCACCTCCCTTCTCTCTCGGTGGTCGAATTGATTGAGACGCCCGCCTAGAGAGAAGGGAGGTCCAGGTTCAAACCCTGGCTGAGGTAATATTTTTCGCAATAAATGTTCTGTATTATAAAAATTGCCAGATACGGTCAATAAAAATCACCGATCCTTGTATACAAAGTTTCACAAAAAATGATTCAATAGAAAAATGTATGCTTCAAAGGGTTAAGTTAAATTGAATAATTACTAACTGTTGTATCGTGAGCAGGACCTGGATTTTGATAATATACTTTTCTGAAAGAATAATTCTGTATGCTAATTATATCCTTGGAAATTATTTGAATTATTTTCGCGCGTGTGATTTTTAGGACATTGTGAATTTTCTTTTTACGTATACGAGGATCTTTTTATATAATTTCTTACCGTAAAAGAGAATTGTGAGTAAGCGGTAGCATTAGGTTAAAACTATTTTGATTTAAAGTGTTAAAAGCGTTATTTAAGAATTCTTATTTTCGGACCATCTTCAAGACGTCAATATCCAGGTTCTAGTCACAAAGTGCCTTCAATTTGTTTAAACATCGCAACTGTACGGTTACAACGACAAAAGCACTAATGCAAACTGTTTAATTACTTCCGTGTCGACGGCCTCCGACAACTCATCATCCACTTCGTCTTCTGCTTCCATATCACCTTGAGCTTAATGTAACGTGCATCGAGCGCAATAGGAACGTTCAGTTATGCGACGAGAGCCGTGCGAATAAAAGGAAGCTTCATATCCCGTCGCTCTTTCGTTTCCCGGTGTTCACGCACGTCTTCGCAAGTCCCGGAAATACGAATCTGAAAAAAAAACAATTGCGGTTTCTTCGTGACGCGAAGCACTTTGCTCCGATAACTTTATCCTCTGGCAATTGCTAGCAACATCGAAATATTACTTTTTGCTTCTTCTTTATACTTTATCAGCTCGCCGACACGATCTGTTGAAGGAACACTAATTAAATTAACTTGATTAAACTAAACAAACGATTCCCGTTACGCTGAACGCGTCAATAAAAATACGCCGGAATTAGTATTGTTGCCAGTACCAGGCCGTTTTATTCACAGACGAATGCTCTTCGATAATTCGCATTGATTTTTAATGTATAAATACGTGTACGTACATGTAGCAAAATGTAAAATTTAATTTTCCATTTTACCGCCTCGGTTAATGTCATTCGCGCTGACGTAATTTACGGCTGCTCGGTGGTCGCTCTAGAAATAATCCGACAAGATCACATGCGACTTAAGATGTGCTTTAAAATTTTACCACCTTATCTGAATGCTCGAAACGTGTATCCACGAATGTCGAGGATTGAGGACGAGCCCATGAATTTTATATTTTATCGATATGAGTCGTGTAACTCGTACACGGCTCGACTTTTCTTTCTTTCCCAGCGAGTTCTCGTCCTCTCACGCGTTTTCATCCTCTTTCGCTCGTTTTCCTCCTCCCCCCCCCCCCCCGCGGAGGGTCGAAGGCAACGACCCACCGGGGAAATCCACGTCTAATCACTGAATTATGAAATTACGCAATTCAATATTCATGAAGAAGGCCGCCCAGCCGCCGCCGGCGTCTGCAATTCTCAACGAGAATAACCGCTTCGCATTAAGTCCCTTGTTAATACGTTTCCTGTCGATGATTATCCTGCCCGCGCGCGTCTCTCGCTCTTAAAACCCTGACATTTTATCCGCTAAATTGGAATCGAGACTGTGGATAAGTGGAATGTCACGGCGACATGAGTGGACGTGAATTCGATGAGCATTTTTGTAAATTCTCTATTATTATATTGAAGTGCGCCGTAGAGCGTCGCAATTATTTTTCACTATACGAGACCTCGCCGTCATACATTTAATTTTGAAATCGCGAATAAATTGTACATCTAAAATATTTCAGCTCGCCACATCTTTCAGCTTGGCTCTTTGAGAAGTAAAAATATATTCCTTTTATCTGCGCATTTATAAAATTATGTTTAAATAAAATCTCATTTTTATCATTCATTTACGTCACTAGAACGAGTCCGTAATTATTATAGCTCGAAAACTGTTAGAGCATGATATTCTCGCGAGTAAAAATCTTGACGAGGAACAAAGTTACGCTTCATTTTCTTATAACACGTTCCATTATAACGTTTGCCTCTTCTTTCAATTTAATCGCCCTAATTTGTTAGCCCAAGCTGTGATTATACGCGAGGCAAATATTCGAAAGAGCTGGCGATTTAACATTTCTAAATTTGTTTAACAGTTTTCCAAAATACGTAAGTACATCGGTTCAATTGTCAAAGACGGAACGTGCCGTCGATGATTTACCCAAGGAATCTAAACGGTCAGGAATTCGCGACCGAGGACTCCCTCCGTCTTTTTTTTTTCTTACTCTCTCCGTGCATGAATTTCATCGCTTATTTGCACTACAATGCCCCGAATACCCGAGGATACGCCAGCATAAACGCAGCCACCTGCGTTGGCTCACCTGCAGTAAACCATTCGCGAGGAATGTCTTATAAATGCAGCGTGTCCGGCCCGAAATAGCCATCACTCCTGCAAAATGTCATTCGCGTTTTCTTGCCGCACGTGAACGCTCGCCTTCGTGCACAATCGAGTCCTTCGTCGACAGCCACGTCGAACACACGTCATTTCAACGGACCACAACGTTCCTCGGCGTTTCATCACCATTTCCCTTCGGCGCGAGCGTTATCGGGCGCGCGAGTACACACAAAAGTCGCATTTTATTTTTACTCCACCCACGATTCCCTCTCGGAAAACATGCCCTCCTTCCTTTCGCGTCGATATCCTTTCTTTAATTTAAGCATGTCAAGGATACATTCGGCTTACTGCGTTCCGCTTTTACCCCGGCGTGCGTCGAACACGATGCACTCCCGAAAGCGTTCAGTCGCGATCGGCTTGGACGGTACTACCGATTGCTCGCCGAAAAGCGCGATCACGCAGACGCATCTCGTGCGACTCGCGTGTATTTTCCCATTTTCTTTCTTTCTTTTTTTCACGTTCAAGTTCGTCGCCGTTCGATATATCCGTCACGGCGTGTGTTTCGCAGCCTCCGGTATTATCGGCGAGACCGCATCGCTCTTCCGCCGCAGGATTGATAATCCCGCTACGAAAGCTTCGCCTCTCCCAATGTTGAACTCAACCGCGGTTTTTCTATTCTTCCCGCCCTATCGCATCGTCCCTCGCGCTAATTGACTTTTCATTTCTCGTCCCATGTCGATTTCATTTCGCGCCGACGGGCACGGAACGATCGAGCGATCGACAGGAGCGTTCACGTGCGATCGACCGCGGGCTTTAAACGGGAGGATCCTCGGCCGCATCCGGAAGCGAGATCATCGTCTCCTCCGCACGCGGGCTTCGATCGTCCCCTCACGTCGTCGGCCTCAAATAGAAAAGCCGTTCCCTCGCCCCTCGCACCTTCACACCGAGTTATTTATCGGGGATCGGTGCGATCTGACGCGGGGGCAGGATCAACGCGCGGCCCGCGGACACGCGATCGCCAACTCGAGACCGCATCGACCGGCGCGTCCTCGCGAGCTCCTCTTCCTCGTCCTCATCCTTTTCCCCGCCGCGGCAGGACCTCGTCTCGAAAGGGACAACGCCGCTGGACCCTCGCCGCTGTCTAGCAGCGAGCCGACCCCGGAAGGATGTTGAAATCGTTCGGCAGGCTGTCGATCGGCTGCCAAGCGCTGACCCGCGTAGGATCGCTCCGTTCTGCCAGTGTCATATTTCGCGATCAACTCGCTGGCACCCTTCGCAGCTTCCACTTGCTCCGGGACGCCTCTCGATTTCCGCTCCAGTTTCGGAGACTCGGCGTGCTCGCGAGGGGGATCGCGCGATCGCCCGAGCGTAGGATGTCACCCCGGGTCCAGGGCGATCGCTACGCGACGATCAGCAGCGGTGCGCTTCGCGCCGGGACGCGACGCGACGCGACGCGACGCGACGGCTGGCGGCGACGTCGATAGCGGACGGCTACGGACCGGTTGAAAGCTCCGAGCTTACTGAAGTCTCCCTCTCGGGGTCAGGCGGACGCGGGTGTTCGAGGAGAGCGGCGCGGAGTGGTGCCTCGGCTGGTTACGCGTCCGAGCCTCCCACGGCTCCTACGCTCCGCTTCGCTCCGCTCCGCGCGCGTCTCGTACGCGCGCTACCGTCTTCAAGGCGTATCACTATCTTCGCACTATCGGACTCGCGTACGCGAGTACGTGCGCACCTGTGCGTCTCTCCTTCGGGGTAACACGTGAGTCCGACGGGCGCTTATCGTCCCTCGTGGTCGCGAGTACTATTCGAATAGCTATCGGCACCTGCGTCTGTGTACGTGGCGGAGCTCACGGACGCTTATCATCTTCGTGAGTAAGGTAGCCGCGCTCGATGTGCGCGTGTGCGCGGGGCTCGCGTAATGCTTATCTCCCGACTGGTACGGGCAAAGTTGCGCGTGTGGGTCCGCGTACGTGTGTGTGTGTACGTATCTATATATGTATACGTGTGTGCGCACGTGCGGCAGGGATACCGAGGAGACGTCTTCTCTCTCGCGCGCGCTCTCGGCTCTCGCCGTGCTCCGGGAAAGATCGATAGCGGCCGGCGGAGAGAGAGAGTATCCCGGACGCAGGCAGGCAGGCCAGGCCAGGCGGGTAGATGAGCAGGTAGGCAGGCAGGCAGGCGAGCAGGCGGGTAGAACCAGGCAGGCCGACCAGGCAGATCAGGCAGGCAGGCAGGCAGGCAGCATCCCCTGCCATCCACGAGATTTTCAGCTTGGAAATTTCACGAGCGCCGGCCGGCGTGCGTCGATATCCGATGATGATGCCGCGCGCGCTCGATCGATCGACTCGCGTCGCGGCGCGCCGCGCCGCGCCGCGCTTTACTCTACCGCGCTCTCCCGCGTTTCGCGGGGGCTAACGAGCGCGGGACCATTAATCGAACACCTGTGCCTAATGCGTTTCGGGAAATTTAACTATCGGCGTGCACGTCGTTATTAATGCGCCGGTGTACGGGCGCGCGGCGTTACGGCCTCGAATTTCAACCCTTAAGCGCGCTTGGTGCCCCACTCGTGAAATTTTCATGAAATTCAGGCAATATTACGGCGAAAGTTGTTACACGGTGTATCCGTCATTAATATCGGGGCGTTAAAATAAATGAGATTACTCTTTTCCACGTGTGTGGCCTTTTGATATTCGATATAATAAAATTGGGATGTCGAACGCGCAGAGAGAAGGAGCGAGAGAGAGAGAGAGAGGGGGGGGGCGGTGCTCTCAAGAGTTTAATTCTTCGTTCTCCAACATAATGAGGAACAATCCCATCCGTTTTTACGACTTTTTATATGATTTCTCTCGTGACGGAAATTAGTTTCTAGCTTTACAGAAAATATCGGAGCGAGAGAATGTAATAATTTGTAAGCTCCACTTGAACACGGCTTGACATTTGAAGGTAATCTCGCAAATTATGGTCTTTCGCTTCGAGTTTCAATTAATTTCAAGTACCGTCAATAAGCAGCGTCTGGTATGTTCTCTTGTAAACAAGATTTGTAACGTCTAACGAGCATTGCGTTCTCCTCGCTCTTGATGCCAACATAATCATTTGGTATTATATGTAAACTCTTATCAATGCTAATTAGCAAGCGTCCCGTGTTAAACGCTCCACGGTTTGTTATGCAACATACGCACGTGCGTATACGTAGCTCTGACGTGCGTCCGTCACGCGAAAATCGGATTACGCTCGTGTCCATGTACACAGTGTGCCGCGCATTCACTTCCGGATTTAAGTCGTTGCTGTTTTCCGTCCAGTTTGAATCGAGATTAGCACATTTTTGAGCTAGTGCGCCTCGATAATCGGACTTTAAATTGACTTTCCGTCGCAGCCGAGTCTAGAGGGGACGCTCAATTTGCCAAAATCAATAAAGTTTCAGCATTAAATATTAATACATTTTGAATGTTACACGCAGCTAATTCTGCAGTTAAGTTGTGTCGAACTTGCGCCAAGACCTTATCGATCAGGTTCGTCAGAAAATTGCAAATTGCGAGAAAGCGTGCGTTTTTCGAATACGTTTGAATATTCTGATGCACTGTAAAAAAGTATGTAAAATTACGTACATAATAAGTGCGATTACACTATTAATAAAGGAAATATATAAATTTGTGTACTTTTACAAAAATTTGCTTTACTCTTTGTCGTGTAAATACTTGTTTGAACACGATGAAAAATTACAAAAAATTATAAAATTTACACAATTAAAAGCAAGCAGTTTACTTATTATATAAGTAGTAAATTTAATAAAAAAGGTTTAAAAAAAGACGCCAAGTATAAGCGTCATCCAATCAAGAATTATATAATTTAATTATTTGGATATCTTTTTACATATATACTTTTATATGTAATATATATAATTTTACATATACTTTTTTACAGTGTGGAATATTAGTCTTGAGATTCTTCCTCGCTCGTGTTAGCACATGAAGACATATGTTCTTTCTCGAAGTTGTCTCGGATACTTGAAAGATTATACAATTGAACCGATGTACTGGTTTCTGATCTTTTGTATTTTTTATTCATTATTTATTTTATTACTAATATGATATTTATTTTTATTTTTTCAATTTTATTATTAAACACAATAACTAATGTGGTTATTGTCCGCTTAACTAGTTGAAATTTTTATCCTTCCATCTGACGGAAATATCATTTGCTTACTTTTTAAAAATAGACTGAACGAGGACTGGTATTTTACGAGTTTCTATCTGTGATAAGCGGACGTAGCCCCGCCACTGAAATCAATGTGTATACATACGTCCATTACATGGGCGAGAAATCAAATTACGCATTTCTGGATTTCCATTTCTGGAGATGCCTTTTAGGACCAATCGGCAATTAGCTGTCCCGATTTAAAGCGGATGTCGTCGCGAATAAAAGACGAGACGCCGAGGTCGCTTAGTCAAGCCGTGACACGGCTCCGTTTCCTCACTTGTGTTTTTCTTTTCCCCTTTTCATTATCTGCCGTGCAGTTTGTCTGCAGTTTAACTCCGATTCTAATTCCCGGCGCGAGATTAATGCAGCGGGATTGAGTTGCGCTCCCCGCCGCGTTATGGAAATAAGTTGCGCGCTTAGCAAGGCGTTTCTTTACGAGAGCTCGCGAGGTCTTATCGTTACTTACAAAATTGTATGGAGAAATTTTGCATAACTGCAAATACCAAACCGATGGAGTTGTCTTTGTTTATGCGACTATGCTTTGTAATATGAAAGTCGGACTTTAGTCAGCTGTTAATACCAGAGGAAACGCCCCTGTAAATTGAGAAAGATATAAATGGAACTATAAAAGAGCGCATATAGGATTTATCACGGAGACACGATAAGGTTTTCAAGATTTTCTTGAAAAATTATGTTTTCCTTTCTCCATTATCGTTTTCGTAGGAACGATCCTATTGTTTTGACAGGTGTAACGCGCACACATTGTTCCCGGTCTCTTTTCGATTTCTTCTCCAGCGATGTTGAAGCACGGCGGAGGGTTCGAAGGATCGGGGGGGGGGGGAGGGGATTTGGGGTGCCGCTTCGATTTGCACGTATCAGCCAATCCAGCTTTGCGGAGCCGCACGATAAAATATGTGCGGACCAGCCGATGTAGGTGGACAGATTGCCAGGGACACCGATATCGCACCGAAAGGATCTGCCAGGGTTATGGTTTTGAAAATGGGATACGGCGCGGAGGACGATAAGAAAGGGGGAAAAAAATAGCGAGGAGGGCCATCGAGATTTGAGGGGTGTCGAATGATTCGTTAGCGACGGCGACGAGGTCGGGCATTAAATTCCGCTCAGGGTCGACGACGAGGGCTGGCACGTTTTATCGCGGGGTTTACTTCGGCGATCTTTCATGCAACGCCGCGCCACTAATCTCTGCCGCGTCGCGGAATATAAAGATGGGGATCGGCGGCCGGAATTGGGGCGATGCGCGAGAGAAGTGCGGATGTTTAAAGCTGAAAAGGCCGGAGAAAAGATTAATAAAAAACATGGTTCGTAAAGGTCAAACGGGCGACACGTGCTAAGAACGGACGTTTTCGAGAGAAACCCGCGAAAATGGCGAGCTTGAATGTTACGCCGCAAATACCTTCTAATCACACGAAATAGATGAACATAGATTTATCGCGTAGACAACATCCATGCTGTTATCGCGACACAAATATTATCGTATGCCTCGGTAGTCGAACTGGTGAGTCGCCCGCCTGGAGTGTAGGGAGGTCCAGGTTGAAACCCCGGTTGAGGTAATATTTTTCGCAATAAATTTTCTGCGTTAAAACCACATCGCCAGTCGTGGTCGATTAGAAGCTTAATCATTGTTAAACACAGATTTGTTTATAAAAGAAACGAACGGAAGAGTGTTTTGCGAAGGGTGAATTATTTGATAATTACCTGGCGAGACGTGCACGTTTAGGAAGCTTGCAGAAGACCTCGTCTCCTCGCCATCTCCGTCTTCTGCCTGCACGCTGCGATCGTTATTGCTCGATATACCTCATGTATTTACCTTATCACGTTATCTTGCCGCCGCTCCGAGGCTTTGCGTCACGGAACGAGGCCATCAACATTTTGCCTTGCGGAGGCGGTCGAAAATCACTGGACCATCGTCACGCTCCTCCATTAAATATATGCGCGACGTCTATTCAGTCGTTGACTCCTCCTCCCCGCCGTCGTTTGCGTTTTATCACGGCTCTCTTTACCTACCTCACTGCTAACGACGCGGTCGAGGGCTTTTATGCGACGAACTTTGCACAGCGCGCTTTATTTCGTGCGGGATAAAAGTCGCGCGGACCCCACACGCATATCGATTTCCTATTTATAGGATATAATTTAACCAACCTTAATTATTGACTCGCTACGGAGTACCGGACAGGATTGACCTTTTCGGCTAATTAAAGACGTATGCCTACGTGAAATAATGAAAAGGACGTTCGCACGTGTCTCGGAGGAAACTGCGAATAAAATGAGGGTGGATGAAAGATACACAATTTACGCACGGGAAAAGTTATAACGGCGCTAAAGTGATTATTTTTTTCAATCTCCGCTTGATGCTGTTATTTTTACATTTATATATGTGTAAGGTTATTTATTACCGCGCGGAGGAAAGAAAGTGCGTTTATTATCGATCTCACAGCTGAAATTAGTACACTTTTGCAGAATAGGGATAACACGAAAACGCAGATATACAGTGGAGATTGGAAAGCCAACCGCTACGTGTAGCGTAGGTATACAATTCCGTAGCGGAACTCAACGTCGGTTGATTAATTAACGATGTTGGTTCTGCGCTATTAATAATTCCGCACTGACGTTGAATTGATACACAAAGTTCCTCCGAGGGGAACACGTCATTTTTAGAAAGCTGTCCACGCACGTTGTTCCCCGGACTGCACTTATTGTTAGCTCCTTCCGCGACGGCGGCGCGATTAGTCCAACACCCTTGCTAATGACGATCGGCGTTGTTCACCGAATAAACCCCGGGGTGCAAAGTCACGCCCCATTTCGCTTCCTCTCGCGCCCTGCTCCTACGTTTACAAATCCTTCGAACACCGAACGGCACCACCGCCCTGTTTACGTTACGCCTCCGACTTCCACGAGGGAAAATAACGTCGGGCTTTATCGATGCGCTTGAATTTCCCTACGATCAATATTTACGCGGTTCGATCGAAATCATTAGGCTGCACTGGGGATAATACGGTTGAAACGTTAATACATAGATAGGCGAAAATGCCAGCGATATCCTCAATTTGCACCACCAACAAGTACTATAACTTAAAGAACGAAAGATGCGACAAGGGTGTAAAACTTACGCGCTCTGGGGAAAAAAAATACAGCAACCCATTTTGGGGCCCACAATTAGTAATCGAATTATTTGAATCGTTCGCGACTCTACTCTGGGAAAAAATTTTGTCCGTTTTTTTGCAGTTAAAGCAACTTAACATTTCGGTTAGTGTGTCGTAGGTAAAAATTATCTTTGCGTTACTGAATATCGACAGAACTAATTTTGAGAGAATTGATTAGTATTACTTTGAGGGGTCATTCCACTTTAACGGCCCAAAAACTATGCTTATCTTTAACAATTTTTTTTCACAGTAAATATATTTCACAGTAAATACACCATACAATGAAATCAATCTTTTGGGGATTTATTAAGGTACTCTTAAATGGCAAAAAAAAATTTTTGTCATAATTTAAACAATTTTTAATTAAGCGTTTTTTACACCGTGCGAATGGCGTGTCAAGAAAGATGCAAATTCGCTTCAATTAAAATCAATTAAAAAATAAAAAAAAATGTTTAAATTATGACAAACATTTTTTTGTGTTATTTAAGAGTGCCCTAATAAATCCCAAAAAGATTAATTTCATTGTATGGTGTATTTGCTGTGGAAAAAGTTGTTAAAGATAAGCATAGTTTTTGGGCTGTTAAAGTGGAACAATCCAAATAATTCGATTGCTAATTGTGGGCCCGAAAATGGGTCGCTGCCTTTTTCTTTCCCAGAGCAGAATCGAACGAAACGTATCTCACCACTTGCAATCGAGGGATCGTCATTTGCTTTCGGCTCTTTGCGTTTTTGAAGCTCCACCTGCGATTCGATTTTGCACGCAAACCGATCGTGCAACACGCGATTGATCGAGTACATTGTGTACGGCACGGTGATCTACGTAAGCTAATGATGAGTCAATGCTTGCGGCAGACGGCGGGACTGTTAATGTAACGTAAACGAATTTCGCTGTAGATTGACTGCATTAATAAGCTTTCAGAGCTATCGGCTACACCGGCCGATCGATCGTCGTCATTTTCCGCTATCAGAAGCGCGCGTTTCTTGTCCTGTCTCCCGCGAATTCAGCGAATTCCTGCTCTCCGATCCGAGAAACGTCGCCGTGCCGCGGATAACAGCCTCGGGGAAGTTGTTCGGCCAATAATTCACTTGGGTTACCAATTACGACGAAGATCCGGTTCTGCATAGCGCAGTTAATTGGGGACACAATCTTATTAGACACTATTTCGAGGTGTCCAAAAGCGGATTTGACGATACTTGACGTCGAGCGATTGTCCACCAAAGCGGAGACAATGGCTCGCGAAAATTATGATAATTAGGAAATATAAAAAACATAGCGAGTGACCGACGCATCTCACGAAATGGAAAGAAACGAAATGCTGACAGGAATAGAAATTTTGCAGAGTTCTCCGGGGTTAATTAACGTGATATTCCGTTTGTGATTATTGCTAAACGAGTCTTATTTACTGTCAAAGGTCTTCGTCGGAGTCGTGAAATCTTTCGTAGGTGGCGATGGATTTTTGAAACGTGTCGTAGTCCTTCTTTTCCTCTTTCTTCGCCAACAGCTTCCTCCGCTCCAACGAGAGGTATATCAACAACGGACAGTACGCCATGTTCACGATGCCCACGACTCGCATGACCCACGGGAATCCAATGGCTTTGACCATTTCGCCGCTCATGATAGGTCCTTCAAAAGAAAAGAGAGAGAGAGAGAGATTTATGCGATATCTTGGGAAATGTTCCACTTTTTTTTAACTGTAAAGTGTTGCAATCGAGGGCAGCGTTTGCCAAGGGCGGGTTGCCTGGCCTTTATACTTCTGCTTTCTAAGATGATTTCCCTCGATTTTATTTCAAATAACCGGTCTTAATTCTCCGATCGGTTTTACCTAAGGAGTAAGCTAAACTGACAGCCACTTGTTGGATCGAATAAACGGGTCCGTAGTTGCCATTTCGGTCCACCAGGCTGGCCAGCAACGGCACCAGAGCTGCATCCGCGACGCCGATGCCCAGACCCATTCCCAGATGCGGGAATATCAACTGCGACATTGTGTCCGCCGACGGGATTAGAATGGCGCTAACGCCGACCACGAACATAGCCAGGATCGCCACTTTGCTGCGCCCGTAACGATACGCTATCACACCGAAGAAGTTGGTCCCGATTAAGTAGCCCACGCTGTCCGGTATGAATACCGTGCCCAGTTGCCATTTCTGCAAGGGATGTTAGTCGAAAGGAGCAACGCTTTTCCGTATTCTTGCAGAATTTGCAACATTATTAGCATCGTGCGTTATTTAAATTAGGCTTCTAATTTCTTATGCTTAGCTTCGTCGACGTTGATTGACGTTATTTATAATCTAATGGAACTCCGAGCTCTCGAAATTGTCGTTAATTGTATTGATATTATAACATAGACGATTAACTTATGAAATTGAAGTAATTGCAACAGACTGAAGCTCGTTGATGAAACTTACCACCGGTATTTTTTATTTAAAAAAATGAGAGTCCTCTGTCACATACCTTAGGTTTTATGTGAGTCCGAAGCCAAATCGGCAGGCAAGGTTCTAATATCGCCATCGGCGACGTCGAGCACCAAATTGCACCGGAGATAATGAGGATATGTGGATTAGATAATAAATGCAGCCAAGTAGTTTGCTGCTCGCTTGGCTGTTGATATATGAAACAGCGAAATGTAATTAAGCAGTTTGATTTTAATGAACATAAAATCGCATACTTTTACATAAAGCACGAGCAAGTAACTTGTCACTATTTTAAGTGTTTAGAATAATGTAATTATTGCAATATTATTGACGGTACAAACTCATAAAAAAAAACGACAGAATCGCAAACTCTAAAGTTACTTTCCGAGAGACAATTCCTCGAGCGTCACGGGCACATTTAATCGCATTCGAGTTAGGAATTTCACGCCTGTTGTACTTTACAAATCTAATATTGTTCTGACTGTGGTGTCTTAATGCCTCAAGATAATGAATACAAGTACCTCGACGTTTGTCTGAACGTCTAATGTCAAAATTTGCAGACCTGCGAAAATATAACGTGTTTCAATACTTCATTATCGTCATGCGAGGAAATACGTTTTCTACAATAGCAATTTTTAAGGGCTAATTACAAATTACTATAACGATGAGGCTGGACACCAGCAGAAATGGCGCCATTTTTCCCTCGAGATCGTAGAGCACGGAACCGATCGGATAGCCCAGGAGAACGCCCAGGGCGATGCTGCCGAGAACGAAACCCATGATCTTGGATCTTTCGTCCTCCTCGGAATACTGAGAGGCGACTAGTGACATGCCGGAAACTGCTATGCACGCTGAAGCTATACCTTGAATGCTCCGTGCCAAGAACAGTATCTCGTACGTTTGTCCGAAGGCGAACACTGTGCGACAGCAATGAAAACTCGAGTTTACAGAAACGGAAATTAACTTGGAGCGTTAAATTAACAAACGGCAATTTCGTAAAAACCAAGTTAAATGTGCAAACTAATTGGAAGACTCTTTCGTTTCGATTCAACGCTGAACGATGCTCGATCCGTTCTTATTTCGCTTCATTGATGAAGCGACTCTCTCCGCGAGATCGCGGGACGAAGCTCGAATCGTTACGGACGCGCGTCAAGTTCGGTTTACTGGAAAAGCGCGGGTAATGGTGAAAATGTCGTCCATAACTTACGCAAAGCAGCCAACAAGAGGCTGAGATTTCCCATGAACAGAGGTCTAGCGTAACCCAGTGTGCCAGTGAGAGTGCCCACGGCGGGATTCAAAATTAATTGGACCAGAGCCTTTGAGCTCAGCAGTAATCCCACTCGGCCGTTTTCGTCCTCCTCGGCGCTCGCGGTCGTATTCGCGTCGAGCGTGCACAGGTAATCAGGGATAATCGGCACTGAAACATTTCCGAATCAGCAAATTGTTTAGCTCGTCATTTGTCCTCCCTCCCTGTGTCTCTCGATTTCGTCGTAATTACCGACTACCGTCAACAGGACATTATCCAGGAAGAGGCTGAGATAGACCATTGCGACGGTGACCATGCGACTGTTCGTCAGACTGCCAAATCTCATCCTTGATCATCGATCTCGACGTAAAGGGAAAGAAAAATCGAGTGCACTGAGAAGTCACTGTATTCACGAAGAGTGTGGAGAAATTAGGAATCTACCTTCAACGAAACTTTGCGCATAGCAATCCTTGGATTCTCAACAATCCCGTTGGCAACGATTTAGATCGACGTTACTGGTGGAATAAATTATGAACGCGGAGTAAAATTGTTAAAAGGTTTGTTAGTTAAATGTAAACTTTCCGAAAGGAACAAAGTGAGATGTAAGTTAGATGGAGGTTATTCAGGAGGAACAAGGTTATTCAGGAGGAACAAGGTTATTCAGAAGTGTACTCCGTTCGGGACGGTGGTCTACATTTCTCAATCTATTTACTTGAAACAAATTTCCTTTTCGAAAAATTTCACGTCTCCTTCTCTCTATCTCTTTCTTCCTTTTCGTCAGCCTGATAAGCACGTAATTCAAAGTAGTTTCCCTCGAATTTCTCTTATCTTTTCTCCTTTTTTTTTTGTCACTTGAAAGGCCGTTCCAAACGTGACTGGAAAGCGGACGAGTTTCGTGCGAGCTTTTATAGCCTCTGGAGCTCGTCCTTGCGCAGAAGCTTTTCCATGGGGGGCAACGCGAAGGTTGGTCCGAATGGCGTACCGTTTCACGAGTCGATGCACTTTTCGATTTATCTCCATTATAGCGACTTATCGGTCGTCGCCAGCTGCTCTGATTTTCGCGGTTTTCATGGTGGTCTTATGAGGTGGAAATAAACCATGGCGCATGTGGTCGTAAACCGTAGGAAAACGGCGACGGGCTCGACGAAGGGGTTGCGCGCGTTGGGAAGTAGAATTTTCGGAGGGTTGCGTGCGTGTGTCCTCTTTGGATGTACGTGCGCGATCGGTCAGTATTAAAAATTTGGCAATTGGAAAATTTAATTCCTAACATATTTTCGATTGCTATAAACTCGAATTGTGTAACTTGACGATTAAATAATTTTTTAAACACAAATAATCATGGTTGGCGCATTATATCGCACGTATTGTTTGTTATACTTTGTTACTGTAAAAAATAAAATTCAATGGACTCAGAGCCCTTGTAAATTTATAACAACTATTTCTTAATTGTAGAAGCTTTACTCGTGCATTTTTGTTGTAACTTGAACAAAGTCTCATTCCAATAGTTTTTTTTTTTTTAGAAAATCAACTATAAGTCCGTAAATAATCCGTTGTTGAAGTTGAAGATTTCAGTAAAAGGAGGCGACTGTGTGTATCACTGAATTTTAATTAAGATATTTTGCATTTAGCGTCGTCGGCGAAAGGAGATAAAAAGGAATAAAACATTCGCGCGCAAATGACGAATTGTCCTCTCATACCTCGCACTGCGGTGAACGCAAACTTCATTTTCGCGAGTCTCTTTGTTGCATGCCCGCTACCTCGCTACCTCGTCATCGATATTCCTGCGGAGCACACACCTGTGCCCTGCTTGCGAAATTACGATCGACCATAATGCAATTTCGACGTTGAGGTACGCGCCAAATTGATTCTGCGCCGTGCACGGCGCAGCTTTCCGCTCGTGTCCTCCTCGCTTAATGCAGCGAGGAACCTCCGTCGCCGAATTGGTCAACGAGCTTGTCAATAATTATGAGGAAGTTCAATGTTCAGCAAGGTTTGCGCTCGTACTTGGGAAGAATTTAATTGAAACTTTGAGACACGATTTAACAAGTACATCTTCAGAGTCGATTTAATATTTGATATGTCGTATTCGCAATCGCGATTCACTGAGAATGAAGCGCGTATTCGAGTCGGTCTGAATTTTACTTGACGATTTTAACAATCGATTCTTAAGAAACTGATATACGCGTGTGCATGCGATAGTTTTTAAATTTTTTACAAGTATTACAATTATTTCCCGCGCAACACGAGAATGAACTTTAATTTACAAGTAATAAATTGAATGACGAATTGTCCCTCTTTAATTAAAAAATTAATAGTCCTTTTAAATGGGGGCAATTAAACTGTCCTGTAAAAATAGAGTTAAATTAGTTTGCACGTGTATAATAGTTAAAATTGTCTATTAGTACATTTATATACACACCGGTCAAATTGAAGCCGATTCTTTTGTGAATTATAATTCAAGCAACGATACTCGCATTTTAAAATGCTCTCTCAATCGAGCGGAATCGTAATCTTGAGCAACGTGAATTAGTTTGTAAAACAAGGCGTAAAATTGTGCGTTAATGAAAAGACCCGCCTGCTTATCGAAATACAAGGGACATGATTGCACGGCGTGACTTTATTCAGCATTAAATATTGTATTTCGAGGCAATAACAATCCGCCGATGGCAATATCAAGGCGGCCTTGGTGTTTAGTATCGCGGTATACGGCGCGCTGTGTGTTTACGCAAGGTCGTCGCGCTACCATTCGCACAGTGAAACTCGAGCCGGCAGGTTGTTGCGCGAGCCGCTCCGTGTACCGTCGCGTTATTACTCCCGATCGCGACGTGTATTAGCGAGTACCAGACGCAGTCATGTTTTAGTAGAACAAGATGTGATCATTAGTCGTAATTAAGGATTCGTAGCGCCGGTTATCGCGAAGCGCATATTTCGTCCGGTTTATCTTCTACGGAGTAGAAATCGGAACGGAACGAAGAACGGGAATAATAAATTATTAATGAATAAGCTTAGTCGACCTTAACTGGCACGTGTTCAATTAAATAAAATAAAAAGATACACAGTGCGACGTTTCGACCAAGGATTTAAGTCCTTCTCGAGCACATTCTAAAAGGAACAAACCGATCGGGATTGCAGGCTTATCGACGATACAAATTAAATTAATAGACAATCAAAATGTGTACAATAATAATACGTAAAATGAAACAAGATCACAAATAATGAGTACAGCAAAAGATATGGTTTGTCAAAGCGGATACATAATATAACAAATTGAGAATAAATCCTAGATCAGTCAATTATCTAACTAGGTCTAGTCTGTCTAGGATTTATTCTCAATTCGTTATATTATGTATCCGCTTTGAGAAACCATATCTTTCATTGTACACATTTTGATTGTCTATTAATTTAATTTGTATCTTCGATAAGCCTGCAATCCCGATTATCGGTTTGTTCCTTTTAGAATGTGCTTGAAAAGAACCTAAACCCTTGGTCGAAACGTCGCACTGTATATATCTTTATTTTACTTTATTAAACACGCGCCAATTAAGGTCGACTAAACTTATTCATTGTTATTTATTACTGGCGATCTAAAGGGATTATCGTGTTTTAATAAATTATCGTATCGCAACAATTGACAATTAATTGTCGCGACGTACTTGGCGATACTTGTTAGATACGAAAAAACTTGGTATTGCATTTAAAATTTTCGAGAAAAAGAAACGAATCGCTTTGCATTGATTACGTGGTGTAATATTACGAATTGCCGGGACGAGTTGTTCTAGTAACGCGTTACATTTCGATCGTGTATCGATGATACATTTGAAATGGAAGAAACGGAATATTTAAGGTACACAATTTACTTTTTTTTCAGGATACGTTAACCGTTGCGTGTCGGCGAGACTTGTGTGCGACCTTCGTGTTTGTTTTGACACCGCGAGCCGACGTGTCATTCACACGGCGAAACTTGGGTCGGCAGGTAGTGCGTCGCGTGTAATTATCGTCGGGAGTGTCGTGCAAAGTACGGGCGATTATTTTATTATAATGATTAACACGCGCGGTCGCAATTAACCGTGTTTTCGCGAGTGTTGTGTACGCGAGTGAGCAACGAAGGAATCTGAGAGGAGGAGGAGGCCAGGGCGCGGCATCGGGCGACGGTGGAGCAGCTATGGAGTGAGTAAATCTTTTATTTCTCTCGTTAGTCGCAAAAGTAATCGTTTCATGCGCGGACAATAATAATCCTTTCGTGATATAAATTATTCTCTGTTGCGATAATTTTACGTATATCTTTATTTTGCAGTCCGACGCAATTTCAGTCGCAATTCCACCGCTGCTCATCATATCGGTGAGTGACGCATTATTTTTTAAATATTACTAAGATAGTGGATCTGTGTAAAATCGGACAATATGTGTAGATACAAAGTAAAGCTCAAGAATATAAATATAATATCTCACACAGATCTGTTATCTTGGATGGATGACTAGGACATTTTTAATTTGTTACAATCATCAATTTATTAAACACGTACATGAATTGTCATTGCAAATAAGATGTTCAAAGTCTATTCTAATTTTGTATTTGTCGATTTTACGTCATCTATAATAAAGACGTTTAATATCGCCAGACCCATGCAACATTGCAAACAATACTTTACTGGCATTCGGAACAATAATAATTGTTTCGTGTTTACAATAAAATGTGACTATCGAATTTGTCCTAAAGTATAAAATCGTATCTCGAGCACTTGATACGTTTTTTAATACGTAATTCACGCAACGGTTACGAATACGGGCCTTGAACTTATTAGTTAAATCGGTCTTTCTTCGCTTCGAGAAATAAAAGACATAATGTGGCGAAGAGAAATATTTTGCAGATTATAAATTTTGTTTTAAATCTCTTAATTACTTCACGCGTTCTATTATAAATTTTATGAAAAATTTGTAAGAATGTAGAATATTAAAAATTGAATACTAAAGCTAAAAGAAAAAACTTGAAACTAAACTCAAAGAAACTTATCAAAAACGGGTAACTCTGCTGGCACATTCGTCCTCCTGATCTTTTTCGTCTTCTTCGTCCTCTTCCTCGTTATCGATTCTTCGCTCTCTCGCCATATTCGTTGGACTGGCGTATCTCATGGGATACATTTCGACGTGTAGTCTGCCAGGGCTAGGTGAAGAATTAGCTCTATTACAAGTAATTTCTGCATTGCTTCTCTCTCCCAAAATTATCCTCCGAGATTTATAAATTCTGGGCTGCGCGTAAATGACGCCGTTTGTTGCTAGAGACTGGAAATTGAAAAGATTTTCCTCATTAAAGCCATGTATACGACTGTGCATAAATCCTACACGTTATATTAAGCACAAAGGAAGGAGTTATTTGCTTAGGAAAAATATGTATGTAATTAATCTCCCGTCGCTCAATGGATATTCACCTTCGTACTCTCGATATACACTTGTGGCGTGGCGTAGGCAGCGTCGATCTCCTTCATTTCAGCATGACATTGGCAATTATTGTATACGGGCATTTCACGGTGATTTGGACTTCCGTATCTCTCGCGATATTTCGAGTTCGGACTTGAATTACCGTAGTAATTTGGATATGCTGCTGGCACTCGTAAAACTTGACTTTCTCGAGTAGGAGGAACGTAATCGTAGGAGGAACGCGACTGCACATATAAACCGCGTTCCTTTATTATCAATGAGGAAACGTTTTTCAATAAATTCAGTGAAATATTTCGTAATATAATATGAATATCAATAACAAATTATTATAATTAACCTACACTGAGAAAAATTTCCAACCGATAAACCAATTAAATGGTGTTTCCGGTGGTTAATTTTTCCGATTAAATTATGGATACGCCCGATTAAATTTATCCGACGAAATGCAGTTACCGGTGAAATTTGTTCGAAAGACCGATCGTATTTTTCATCGGATGTACAATTTAATCGGATCTATCCGTTTGTTATTATGTAATAATTGGATTATCCGATTATATTTAATCGGGCATTTTTCTCAGTGTACAATTATAATAATCAACAACACAATTCGTTATTACTTTGAAAATAATTAATAATTGAGAGAGAATACGTGGCGTCCTGACCTGCCTGACGATCGTATTAACAATCGAATCGGTCGGTAGATTAACGGGATCGATTTTTTGTTCGGGTTCTTTTATTCGGGGTGTGTGCGTGACCATGTAATAAATTCTCGGTATTAAGACACCGAAAATAATTAAGTAAGCCGTGGCAATTATACCGAAGAAAACGGTTGCGTCGCGATTTTCTGGCTGCATCAACGTAAAGCACATTAGCCAGGTCGCCCATATTATCAATAGACCGACAGCAGAGCCGAAGAAGCATTTTCCCTCGTAGTAATTGCGTTGCGTTCGGACAATGAAGTAGCAAGCAGCGAACAATCCAATCAATAAAAATATATCGTATCCTGGAAACAATATTAGAATTTTAATTTTAATAAAGCGACTACAATTGCGATTGCCTCTGAGTAATTTCAGGAAAACACTTAGAACGTAAAATTTTACATCAAGTTATCAAGTTATAATGTATCATTATTATATTAATGTAACATTAATATCAGATGGAAATTAGAATAAGGCAAACTAAACCCATCAAGATTTCCAAGAAAAAAAAAGAAACAATTCATTTACAATCAGAAGATTCAGAAATGAATGAAAAATTATTACGAATGTCCAAGTGACGATCACTCGCGTAAATTCGGTGTGGGATCAATAAGCGATTCGGTTACTGTACCTAGTAACGCAACAAAGATGAGGCTCCTGGCGACCATAGCTGAATTCATTGCGCTCAGAACGAAAAACATAACCGACACGGCGATTTGCACGCCGTACATGAACAGCGCCATGAGACTCTGCAGGTAGCCGTTAATGTGAATGACAAAAACACCGCCCGTGGACAGGGCGAGGAAAAGTGCTCTCGAGAGCATGATCGAGAAGGTGAGGCCGAACGCGAGAGTGGTGAGGAGGATCTTCCAGGCGTTCAGGCTCTCCGCGCCGAAATAATTGTCCGTCACGCAGAAGGGTAGCGCTGTCAGTAGGGTAAACAGGTTGGCCAGGACGAGGACGATTGTCAGGGTCGGATTGCCGTCAAGTATTTCCTCGGACGCGAAACGATGGACGATAAGGATCGCCATGACGCAGCACGCAAAAGTGCCGCATACGATGACAATCAGGAAAACAGGAACGTAGACGCTGTTCTTCAGGACACTTTTGCCGACGACATCCACTGAAATGTCAAATCGATGCGTTAAAAGCAACCCGAAAAATATCACTTTCGATAGCCCCGCTAACTTTGAAATAGTGTCATAGAAACAAACGTGCAATTTCGGTACTCGTAGTATTACATTTGTATCGTTTACCTTTCGTAACGTCGTCAGAGCGTCCTTGAAAATTGGTGCAGTTCTCGCAATTCCCGGCGAGATGCTCCAAGCAGAGCCCCGGCTTTCCGGACATCGTTCTCTTCGGGAGAACGCGTAACTTGGACACTTCGATCTCGTAGAAGGCGACGTCGATAAGCTCGTGCCGCATCTTCGTGGCGACCACGTATCTCACCGCGTGTGCTCGCGGCTGCATGTGCAGGACCTCGTAGACATCGAGATCGCGTATTTCCCGTCCCGTTTCTGGGGATTGCGTCACGACGCTGCTCTCCTCGTTATCGATGGGCCAGCTTCTCCTGCGGACATCCTGAAAGACTTCCGCCAGCTCGATGACGGCCTTCCCAATGTCGAGGAGATACGGAGAGTGGTTCGCTGAGTTGTCGGAGTTCTCCGGGAATTCGCCCGCGCTTGAGAACTCTCCAAGATCGAAACGAGGAATTTCCGGCTTAATGACATACGATCCGAATGGTATGAGGTCTGGAAAGTTGAAGACGTTGTCGTGCGCGCGCTAAATTTAGATTAATAATACCGCCTGCATCCAAATTTCGACTTGGCTATCTGGAATCGCGGTAGTACAAGAGGTCTGTCGAAGCTGAATTTTTGAAAGAACGATCTGCAAAACGCGAAGAGAGACGTTGATTTCGTACATTGAGAATTTCTTATTACGCTAAATTCGCGCGAGTTAATTTATCTAGTGGCTGCGCGGCAACATCGGTTAACTTTAATTGTGGTTTAACCGTCCCGTTGTCTCGTTTCAGCTTTAATTCTGGGGAGAAACAAAGGACCTTTCGAACTAAGGTTAAAGTTAAACGACGTTGGTAAAACTGTCTCTTAACTCTCGCCTATTATACTACCACGGCTAACTTGAATAATGTAGCTGCTGTTACAAGCGGTACTTGGCGACAATATTTGATATAATACTTGGCATTAATTTAGATTAATGTTCCTACGTAGCGGGCCAGTTGTACGGTGATATCATATAAATAAGTTTCTTTTTAACATAAAACAGATATTCCGCTTTACGAAGTGTATCATCGCGTAAAGATTAAACTATTATCCCCCCGCAATTTCTCCCGGCATCCGCCGATACCTAAAATTACTTGCCGTCAATATCCGAATTATCGAGCGGCAGCAGGAGCCACGTTTCTCTGGAACCCCTCGATTCCTCATTCTCTCCCAGCCATCGTAGCACGTCATTTCTCTCGCCGATTGCGACTATCACTGTTTCCGTGACGTTCGCGTACCTGTCACCGTTGACGCGCCTGTCACTTCGCTTCACGCACACACCGGCGTCCTTGGTAACTTCCAGGAAACGATCGAGAACGGAGTCCGCGCTGGTGCGCACCAGATCAACGGTCTCGTATCGGGCGCTGAGATAATGCGCCAGGATATCGATCACGGCCACGGTAAAATCCCGCTCCTCGTAGACGCCGATCGGCAGGCCGCCGTGATCGCGTAGATAATCTATCACATGCCCGTACTGGGATGGCACCAGCACACCCATCTCATAATCTGGCGCGCAACTTTGCTCGACCGCTACTCGCAAAACTCGTCTAAACACCGTAATCCTATCGTGACACGTGTCGAAGATTCTTAGTCCTGCGTAATATACGTGATAATTATTCATGAGGACGTACACCTCGGATATACCTTAAGGCTTATCTTGACCCTGAAACGTGATGACTAACATACAGACGCTTTCTAGAAACATTTTGACACGTATTCGAGATATATACAGGGTGAGTCTTTCCATATCCGACAAAATTTTTGAGAAGGTAGAACGGATCGAGATGAACGGAAAAGTCCTGTACCATTTTGCAATTTTCGTAATAGTTAACGAATAATTAATTATTAAAAATCGTTGTCTTAGACCGGCCTACCGCCCAATTCGAGCGCGTGGCGAGATGTGCGCATAGCAATATCGATCGCCGGGCGGTTACATCTTGCCACGCGCTCGAATTGGGCGGTAGGCCGGCCTAAGACAAC